GCTTGGTTCATTAATTACCTCTATCCGCAATACTTTTGCAGAACAAGAAGTGTACTGTGCAAGTCTGCAAGGAAAAATTCAGCTGCTGCAACAGCAACTCAGCGTGAATGATAATCGTTCTTTAACAGTTCCGGCCACACCAGAAGACCTTCCAGAACAGACGGAAACAGAAGAAACCCCATTTACCGAAGTCAAAAAGAGAAAAAAAAAAAGCACGAACTGCGCAACTTAACAAACAGTTATCAGACCACGTCCTCCTATTAAAAGCAAAAGAAACAGATAGAACTCCAGAACAAGTCAGAACACAACTGACTACTGAACTTAGTGCCAGGGAACTGGGCATTACTGTTGAAGAAGTGCGGCCCACACGCTCTAACGAACTTTTAATTAGGTGCAGCCACAGACAAAATATAGAAACACTCAGGAAAGCGATTGAGGAAAAGCCCTCACTCTCAGCAGCAGTCACGCTCAGAGAGCCCTCTTTCAGAAAGTCCACAATAATCGTCTTTGGTACCCCCACATCCGCAACAGCAGACGACATACGTGAAGCTTTTGCGAGCCTGGTGCCCTCAGCAAGTGAAGAACAAATACATCCAAGAAATCCTATTCGCACAACTATCGGCCACACCTTGGATCGTCGACCTACAGCAGAATCTGTACGAGGATATTAAGGACCTTAGAAGAATTCTTATAGGATTCAGCTCTTGTGCTTTCAGAAAATACTTTCAAGTTTCAAGGTGTTTTAATTGTCAGCGGCTAGGACACTTGAGTCATTCTTGTAAAGCAGCGTTGGCCTGTGTAAACTGTGGACAAGCTCATAGCCAGGATAACTGCAAAGCAAAGACTCCACACTGCGTCAATTGCGCAACTCACAATAAATCCAAAGGCACTAGCTTCGACACCACACACCCGTCTAGTGCAAGACAATGTCAAGCCTACAAGGCAGAACTGTTCAGAATGAAATCAACGGCGCAGTGGTAGATGAACAGCAGGCTATTGCATATCCAAGTACAGTACATGGTTTTGCAATTCTTCAAAGCAACTTGCAACGCAGCCAAGCCGCAACTGTCCATGCAGCCCAGGTTATTCTAGAAAACAATGTAGATCTAGCCGCACTACAAGAGTTTCATTCCATTAACAACAGGATCACAGGATTCAGCAACTTCAAAACTTACCATTCAGTAGGCAATCAAGCAGCCATCGCCTACAATGGTCCACTCACGCCCCTGCTAATGCATAAAGGAGATTACACAGTTACTGTACAACTGGAAGGGCCTTATGGTCAAATTGCCATCACCAGCGTGTATTTTCCTCCTTCGCACGACATTGTCACTGCACTCCAGGAGCTGGAACAAGTCATGATGATTCCGACTAGGAATAAGATAATCGCTGGGGACTTTAACGCTGCTAGCCCTCTATGGGGTGCGCCAGAGGAAAACAGGCGTGCTTGCCCTGTCCTTGACTTCATCACTTCTCATAACCTTGCAGTCGTCAACCCCACCGACAGCCCTCCTACATACTGGACTACCAGGGCTCAGGGGTGGCCTGATATCACTTTAGCCACCACTGGTATTCTTAATAATATTCACAATTGGAAGGTTAGCGAAACTCCCTCGTTCAGTGACCATCGCTACATTGAGTTCAGAATAGATTCGGAGCACCAATTTATAACAAAGAACAGATGGAAAACGAAGTATATAAACCTGAACAAATTTAAAGATGCACTTTCAACCCATATTGAAAGTCTCGTGGCACAATGTAACAATTGCAACAGTAGTAAAGACATCGACGCCATGCATGAAGATCTTATGCAAACACTGCTCTCAGTGTGCGAAAAAGTCTTGAAAAGGAAACATTACGCAGCCCCGAAATGCACTCCTTGGTGGAGCACCACGCTGACTGCTGAACGCAGCAAAGTCCGTGCCCTAAGGCGCAAAATGCAAGCATGCAAGGATCCCTTAGAAAGAGAGACACACTCGCTAATTTTTCGAAAGCACAGAGCTGCTGCTTACAAAAGACAGATTGCAAAAGCGAAGTTTTCATCCTGGAAAGAGTACTGTACCAACACTGCGAATAAGTTCGGAACTGTCTTCCGTATTGCACATGACAAGATGTTTACACCTACTAATCTTACTGCCACAATAAGCCACGGAGCAGCAACTAGCACAGAAGTAGTTGCGCACATTCTGGACAATATCTTTAGACCTGATAACGCAGACACAGATAATCCCGCACAAAGAAATATCAGAGCCAGCGTTGAGCAATATTACAATACCAAGAAAAACAGATTTTGAACCACTGCCTAACGCCAAAGAAATAAGCGACATTGTTAAAGCGTTAAACACCAATAAAGCACCAGGTCCTGATGGGATAGATAATAATGGCATTCTGCAAGCCATTAACAGTATGCATCCGGAGTTACTGCATGCCTACATCACTGCATGTTGGCGCAACAGATATTTCCCAGCCGGCACGAAACTTGGTGAGGTGGTGCTCTTCCTCAAAGCGAAAAAAGACCCTAATGTACCAACGTCTTACCGGCCTATTTGCCTTCTTCCTGCCTTGGGTAAAGTACTAGAAAGAGTCGTCCTTCAAAGACTTAAACACTATATCCTGTCTGGACAAAGCATAAATGACAAACAATACGGCTTCATTCCTGGCAGATCGGTGGATCACGCGCTGCAGCACCTACGAAAATTAATAGCAAATAACAGAATAAATAACCAACATAGTCTCATTATCTCTGTGGATATACAGGGCGCTTTCGACTCGTTGTGGTGGCCCGATGTACTGAAGAGATTACAGGACATGGGTAGCCCTAAGATTCTCTTTGACCTTATTTACAGCTACCTAAGTGATCGCCGCTTACAAGCCACTACGGACGCAGGAGTACACTCACGTTCCATCAATAGAGGCTGTCCTCAAGGATCCTGTCTGGGTCCACTGCTCTGGAATCTTGTAGCGGACACAGCGCTGACCCTCTTTAACACAGATCCTCACACGGAAATACTGGCTTATGCCGATGACTTTTTGCTGGTAACCAAAGGGCACAGCCGCAACGCATATGAGACTAGGGCACAACAAGCAATGGACAAGATGGCCAAATGGGCCAATGACCATAAGTTAACTATTGCCAACTCAAAAACCCAAGGTATGCTTATCTGTCCAGGTAAGCGCCATCGAAGAACCCCGTGCATCAACCTTCATGGGAAAAATATTAAAATAGTCAGAAACTTGAGGTACCTTGGAGTTATAATTGACGACACATTGACTTGGATGCCACATTTAAAGGAGGTCAAGGCACGACTTCACAGGATATTTCATTCCATGCTCAGAACAGCAGCACCAACATGGGGAGTTTCTTCGAGGATGCTTAAGACGTGGTACTCTGTAGTTGCTGAACGTATTGCACTACATGGAGCCTCCATGTGGGGCATAACGATCACTACTAAAATGGAGAATCTGCTACGCTCAGCACAAAGACCATTCCTCCTGAGCATTACCCGAGGATATAAAACCTCGCCCACTAATGCTCTAAACGTGATTTCAGGACTACCGCCTCTGCATCTCTTAGCTCAGCGCGAGAGTGCAATAGTGCGAGTGCTCCGACTCAAAGAGACAATAAGTTTATGGGATAGGACTTATGTTTATACTGACTATGAGCAAAGCATTCCCGAGCCACCTTGCCACCCGGCCGAATTCAATATCTCGATTAACTGCAGGTCACCAACGTGGTTCAACGCCACTGCAATCTACACCGATGGTTCCAAAGGAGAATGTGGCACCGGTAGCGGATACTGTGTTCTACTTGGGAACCAGATCTTAAAGACCTGGGAAAGAAAGCTTAAGCACCACAACTCAGTTTTTCAGGCTGAACTGATTGCATTAAAAGCTGCACTTGTCTACGCACTGGAAAATAACTATTCCAGTATATATTCAGACTCAGCCTCTAGCCTCCAGGCAATCCAAGGCAAATGTAGTAAAAATCCACTCGTCAGGGCCATACAAAAACTCTTACTAAGAACACCTAAATACTATAGGCCTGAACTCCAGTGGGTACCTGCCCACACTGGAATACTGGGTAATGAAATTGCAGATGCAATAGCCAAAAGAGCAGCAACTGACCCCCACGTTCGCACACTTGACGTGCCTCTCCCGGGTTCGTTCTTAAAAGCTGAGCTCGAGAGAGAATTACTCAAACGTTGGCAACATCTGTGGGAGACAGAAAGAAACCACCGGCAGAAGAGTTTACAGATTTTTTCCAAAAGTCTGCCGGCTTCTAAAATCTGGCTCGTCTCACTTCACTCAGTATCTAACAGGACATGGTCCCTTCATGACTTACCTGCATCGCTTCAGACGACGCGAAAACGAGCATTGCTCATGCGGGATGGTAGGAGATCCGGACCACTATCTGTTCGCTTGCAGAGAGACCGCTAAATATCATCTTAGGCAACCAGTAGCAAACCACATCCATGCATGGGCCGAAGCTACTTCAAAAAATCGCAATGCATTGAAACGCATATGCGATTGCATAAAACATTGCACGCATAATCTCAGACAGGCTGGAGTAATTCTCAGCCACCATCCTCGTCACCAGCACAGCCCCTGTATGCTCTGTACCTGTAGCGAACTAATTTTATCTTAAGTTAGCTTATTCGGCTTTTCTTATTCCCTGTATATATTTATCTTCTTGAAACCTTGAATTATGAACCTTGAACTATGTATTTTGCCTTATTTTATGTATTGTTTCCACTGTTTTGCCTTTTTTATTTTATGCATTGTTTTACTTTCTAGTATTTTACTTCTTATTACTTTTAGTATTTGTAACCACCTATTCATTACTCTGTAAATATGTAACTGGAATTGTTCTTCACGCCCGCAATGCACCCTTCTTCCATCATGCACTATCATCTTCGTCCAGCATTTGTTTGCACTGCCCCCAGCAGTCGTCTTGAGCACAATATGTATTTATAAGTGTGTCTTTTGTTCAAGTTATTTCCGTCAGCGGGGCTACCTGGCCGATATGCTAACTACCCAGTGGACCGGCTGCCTCGCTGTCAGTGGAAAGAAAGAAAGTATCAATATTGAATTTGTGGAAATTCGCTCCGCAATAAAGTGGATCTTGTGGAAGAATTCAAACAAAGGGTAATAACTTTAGTTCATAGGTATTTTGTCTGTTTTGTCAGCTCTTTGACTAAAAATTATCATATAAGAATTAATGGTAAAGCAGATGATAGGTCCTTACCTCAATTTCAATGATTATTTTGACTTGTCACTGTATGTATTAGATATAAATACATGTGAACAGTATTTTCATGTATTATCATCAATTTTTTTAAGACATTGTTTCGTTTAACATCTTTGTGGATTTGGAGTAATTGGTGATGACATGATGTAGGATTAATATATATAATATATATATATATTATATGTAAAGTAAGAAATTTATACACCCGTGTGTGACCGGGCATCCCAATGTAGCTCATGCATGTCGTAAAAGGCGACCAAAATGGGTACCCAGCGTCTGGTTGGTAGTCAGCACCACTCCCAACCCCCAACCTCACCTCGTGAAAAATCTTACTGTTAAGAAATCCAAAGATGCAATTAACCGGACTGCCTCTACTGGAAAACGACTTGGAAATGGCCTAAGGACTTTTTGTTTTGAAACCTGGAATGTCCGAACACTGTACTACAGTAGAGGATTGCAATTTCTTATAGAAGAATTTGACAAATATAATATGGATCTACTTGCCATTCAGGAAATGTGATGGCTTGGGGAAGGTACTATTGAGAAAAGAATCCATGCGGTTTACTATAGCTGTGATGTGAAAAACATGTTTTTGGTACTGGTTTCTTATTGAACAAAAGTTTAAAACACTTAAGTGATTGATTTTGTTCCTAAATCACCCTGACTTTGCAAAATTAAGCTAAGGGGAAAGTTTCTTAATTATGGTATTATCAATGGGCATGCACCCACAGAGGACAAGGAAGAGGAAGAGAAGGAAAATTTTTATGAGGAACTTTCTATGTTATACAGATCTTGTTCCAAGCATGACATTAAAATTGTTATGGGAGATATGAATGCTAAATTGGGTAAAGAGGATGAATTTAGACCAACAATTTGAAAGCATGGCTTACATGATAGTACTAATGACAATGGACAATGACTAGTACTTTTTGCTGCTGAACACATGATAATTTCAAGCATTGTGTTCAGCCACAAGAGAATACACAAGATGACTTTGCACTCACCTGATGGAAAAACCTGGAATCAAACTGATCACATACTCATCAATTCTAGGCATTTTTCAGACATCCAGGATGTTAGAACATATCGAGGCACCACCTGTAATTCCGACCACTTTTTGGTTATTGCTAAACTAATTGCTAAAATTTAAAACACCCGAAAGATACAGGGAGAAAGGCAAAAAAAGTTGATAGTGAAAAGCTGAATTGAGGCAACTGAACAAAATTTCCAGTCCTCGCTCAGGGAAGAACTAAGATCTAAAAACATGGTCGAACTGGAAAACGTGGAAAATAAGTGGAGCTTGCTCAAAGACTCGATCACATGCTCAGCTGACAACACACTGGGATATATGGAAAAACCCAAACCAAGGGATTAGTCTGATAATGAATGCTTCCTTGTAACACAGGCAAAAAGAGCTGCTTATAAAAATATGGTATAAAAGTGACATTCAAGACTCTCCGTTGAGGAATATAAGAGATCTAGAAAACAGGAGAAGAAAATCCACCGGCTTAAGAAAAGACTTTTTCACAACGACCTATTTAAGGATGTTGAACATCTGAGGGGGTCAAATGAAAGCCATGCTTTCTATCGTAAAATTAATATTGGCCACAAAGATTTTAAGCCTAGAACTACTGCCGGTAGAGACAAAAACATCCTCCTCCTAAATGACAGAAAAGAGGTACTCCACAGGTTGAATGACTATACATGGGATGGGTCTTCAACCTACCTAACTACCTCTGTAAACACCGATAGCATCCCACCATGATCTTTGGCAGAAGTTAAAGAAGGAATTAAAAAGCTAAAAAATAACAAGGCCCCAGGCCCTGACTTAATTACTTCAGAACTCATTAAAAGTGCTGCAGGTCAAAATATTGAGGAAATACACCACCTCATCGAATCAGTTTGGAACCAAGAAGTTTTACCTGAAGATTGGAAACTGAGCATCATCTGTCCTATACATAAAAAAGGAGACATTTTGGAATGTACCAACTACAGGGAAATCAGTCTCCTTTGTGTTCTCTACAAACTATTTTCCAATATACGTTTTAGTAGACTAGTAACTTTATACAGAAACTATTGTAGGTGATTACCAATGTGGTTTCCGCAAAGGAAGATCTATAGCAGAGCAAATCTTTAATATTAGGCAAATTTTGGAAAAAACGAAAAAACTAATGAACATGGCATTGCAACGCACCACCTTTTTGTTATTTTAAGACAGCCTATGATTCAATAAAAAGAAAATATTTAATTGAAGCTATGAGAGAATTTTCAATACCTGAAAAACTTATAAATTTGGTCACCATTACTTTCACTGAGACAAAACTTAAGGTTAAAATCCAGATTAGAGCCTATTGTTGTTTCAAATGGGCTCAGACAGGGTGATGCACTGGCCTGCTTGCTTTTTAACCTTGCCCTCCAAAAAATCATAAAAGACTGCAACATTAATACTTGTGGAACTATCTTTAACAAATCTGATTTTTGCGATATTGACATAGTCGCATACACTCCCAAGTCACTTAGAGAGGCTTTTATATCTCTAGAGGCTGCTGCCAGCAAAATGCATCTAGCAATCAACCAAAATAAAACTAAATACATGCCCTGTGGTAATAACAGCAGTCCCTATTTTGAAATTGGGAATTACAAATTTCAAACTGTTGGCAAATTTAAATATTTAGGATCATAAGTTAATACTCTCAATGATTTAATGCCCGAGATCCGTAGTAGAGTCACAGATGCTAACCGATGTTTTTTTCGGTCTCAAAAAATACTTGAAGTCTAACTTCACTAGCAGACAAACAAAGATTTTAATTTACAAAAGCTTAATCAGACCCATTCTTACATACTTTACTGAGACCTGGGCAATGATAGAAAAAGCTAAAAGTATCATTTCTGCCTTTGAAAGAAAACTTTTGAAAAGAATTTTTGGTGGCATAAATCGTAACAATATCTGGAGAAGAACTAACTCTGAACTTTATAAATCCTTTAAAGAAATACATATAGTAAAATATATAAGGATTCAGAGAATTAAATGGGCAGGACAGCTGTGCAGAATGGATGAAAATCGAGTAACTAAAACGATCTTCTCGGCCAGACCATGCGGCACTCGAAAAAGAGAGAGACCTAAACTTAGGTGGCTCAACTGTTTGGAAATAGACTTAAGAATTTTAAAAATAACCAATTGGATGTCCGTGGCCAGGGATAGAAGAGCTTGGAATTCGATTCTGAGGAAGGCAAGAGCCCATCCTGGGCTGTCTGGCCATTGAAGAAGAAGAAGAAATTTAAAACTAACATTTCACAAAGACCATAAACTGAAATTCATAATTTATAAATTTCAAATAATCATATAAATGTAACAAAGAAATAAAACGCTAAAACCAAAGCATTTCAAACAAGCAACCCCCCTTGTTATCTTTAATGATAATTTTTCTGCAACTTTATGCACGAAAATACTAGGCATGTTCAGGTTTTGTATGTATATAAAACATAACATATATAAAATATAGGGTTGCATAATAACAAAAAGCTAACAAGAGCAATTTGTAATAGTTTCAGAATACTTTTTTAAACTTCATTAATGTTATTCCAATTAAAACCATGGTATTTATAAGTGAAACTGTTTCTTTCTGTAGCTTTTAAACATTGCTTTGGACTGGATTATTTTGGTTATGGCAAAGGATACGAAAGCTTATTTTGCCTAAAGAAAGGAATGCCTTTCTGAGAGGCTTTCTAAATGGAACTGGCTCATATCGACATTGCGCATGGAGAAAATCACGAAAACTCCCACGCTGGAACTTTTTTGAGGATTTGAACAATGGACAAACTAACAATTTTCAGTTATTTAACCATTTGGTCACTAATGGGTCTTAAGAATTGTTTTAATTATTAAACCAATTAAACCAACTCTAAAATATATGTAGATTTGAAATATGTAATAAAAAAATATGCAATTTTTGAACCTATTTTGAAAAGAAAATTATGCAGTGAGAGAGTTAACAATGCAGTAAAAATTAAGTGCAGAACACTCAACCAGATGAACATCAGTCATGTTTTTCTGGCGTCCTACATCACATATTCAGGTGAATTATTCAGTTAAAATCAAAACAAATAGGTACTAAGACAATCATGTCGAACTGGCCTCTAAAAGCTTTATGGCTGAATCATCGTCTAGGAGAGCTGGGGGCTTTTCCTTTTGTAGTAACTAAAACAATTATATTCAGTCAAAAGTCCAAAGTGGGACAAAGCGGCAGATCCAGAACACTGTAAGTACAACAAAGCACACTTCAGGGTCACCAGCAATGATCGCCGGCTGCAATCTGATAATGAAGCTAGCACAAAAAAGAGTTAACAGATTTCAGAACTCAAATCATAGGTTATTTTCATTCTCTATGCTCCACAGTGGACAACAAAGGATGAATACCAGTTTATGCATGTTAGCAGAGTAAGGCAATCAAGATTGTGATCTGATGACAGCGAGGTTAATACCGTATTTGACGGCATTTAAGACGCACCCTTATTTAGAAGGCCACACACAAGGAAAAAAAGTTCCAATAGTCCGCACGACAGCGCGGTACCACAATAACTTAAAATGTGGTTTCTTTTAGTTCTCACATTTCGTAAAAGCCAAATAAACAATCATTGAATGCAATTACCAAACATATTTTTATTAAGGAAAATTAACAAACGGCAAGCCATTTTGAACATGATCTGTAAATTTCAATAATGAATAAATGAACGAACGGCAAGCAATCAAACATAATACAAAATAAAGCAGAAATAACAAAAAACGCAGATTCAAGGAAAACGTTGCCTATCATGAAATTAGACTTTAATCACTTTCAAAACAATAAAAATCCTTTTCATTATCATCATCGAAAACGAAAATATCGTCGTCACTACTGTTTCCGTATTGGCTAGTATCACCTTCTTCAAATAATGCGTCGTCTTCTGTTCCGTCAAGAGTATTACTGATTCCGCACTTCTTAAAGGACTTAACAATTACTTCAGCCTTTACGTCGTCCCAAGATCTTTTTACCCACTCACACACTTGTGAAATAGAGGGCTGCTTCATTCCACCTGAGGGGTGTGAGGGCTCGATTGTGGCTCTCCTATCCACTTGTTCCATCGTTCTCACACTTTTTCCTTAAATGGCTTATTCACCGATACATCTAAAGGCTGCAATTGGCTAGTCAGTCCACCAGGAATGACAGCTATCTGGGTTTTTAATTCTCTTGCTTTATTCTTTATGGTTTCAGTTCTATGGGCGCTAAACTGATAAAAAACCAAAAGAGAGGGTTTTCTTAAGAGTCCACCAGGTTGCTGTAATAATAAATGGGTACTAAATGTCATAGAAGTGTGTGGTCTAAAAAAAAATATGGAACTAAAAGTCAAACCAACGTCCTTCGCTATAAAAAATTCAAATTTGTTATCATGCAACCTTGTGCAACGAAGATAATCTGAGATTTAATAGATTGGAACTTTACGCATTTTTGTGCACGAAAGATTAGGACTCGAAATAGTAGGACTGATTCTTACTGCTGCAGTAGTACGTCGTATATTGTCTTCTGTCTGGTTATGTTTTCTTGATTTATACTAGTATTAATTTAAATTTTCACGATGTCAAGATATAATAAATTTCTCGTAATTCACATTATTTGAAGTGTCATCCTTTGGGGCAAAGTTACTTTAAATTCCATATTTTTTTTTTTTTTTCCAGATCACACATTTCATCCTGCACGTATCCAGTAATTCTGGCTTATTGCACTATTTAATATTACATTTGGTGCCGTTCCAAAAATTAAAAAAAAAAATTAAGGTTGAGAACCTGGTTACTTCAGATAATTAAAGAAGCACAAAAATTTTTCAATTCGCGTTGTGAACTTGAGATAAAATGTGTGATCTAATATTATTTGCTACACATGTGACTTAAATTAATGTATGATATTTAAATAATTTAAGATATATGTGATATACTTAAATCAGAAGTGAAGTTCAATAACTTAACATTGGATTGTCGTGTATTTGATTAGTATAGTGCGATGCTAAGTATCTAAATGATATAATAATTGATTAAGAAATTATAACAAAATTTGTTATCCCTACAGTGATTATTGCTATAATTATGCATGTTGATAAGTAAATTTTTGTATGTTACAAAATTTAGCATAAAGTATTTATGTGTATCTTAATGTGCTGAAATTGAATGTTGTAATGTGGAAAAAAAAAAAAAAAAAAAAAAGATAAGTAACACTATAGTTCATCTATGCCAAAATCAAAATTTAAGTCAACTACCATTATGACTACTTTGATGATATCAGGATTGAAGTTAAAAAGTTAGGTCCATCTTCATTTGATAAGGCTGTTGAACTCGCTAGTAATATAGAGAACGCTTTGAATGACCAAAAAAACTATCTTAACAGTATTACTGCTGAGCAAAATTTAGAAATTAACACTCTGCTGAAAGAAAAATTTGAACAAAATAAAATCATTCAGGAGTTAAAAGATAAAATAAATGAATTGTCTCAAAATATGCAGAATAGCTCACAATCAAAATTTAATCAGAGTGCTTCTACATCTAAAAATACGAACAGATTTGATAATGTATCTTGTCATATATGTAGCAAAAGACACTTAACAACAGATTGTTGGTATTTTCCTAAGCAAGATAGACATAATTATTCTAGTAGAACTTTCAGAGGTCATAGAGACTTTCGTAATAATTGGTGTAGGACTTATCATCATGATATAGTCACATAGAGGTAACAGTCATATGTAAGATATATGTAAGTATAAAGGTAACAGTCAGCACAAAAGAGAGCATAACAATCATTTAAACTAATTAAGGGTTCTTGCCAGAGATATGACTCTAAATTTAGACCCCTTGCAAGGATCCGTAAAGACTGGGAGCATAAAAAATATTTCAACAGACAAAATACATATATAAAAAAATGATTGAAGGAAATGGCAATCAACTCCAAAATAAATTAGTAGAAAATAGAAATGTTACCAAATTGTTAATGTCTTGTAGCTCTGAAAATTCTAATTATCTACCAATAATTAAAGTTAAAATTGGTTCACAGACTGTGCTAATTTGTCTTTGGTTCAACCAAATGTAATTGAGGAAATTAAACAGTTTTCTAAAGTCGAATTTGTTTCTCGTATGGTTAGAATAAAGACAATTGAAGACTCATCTATTCCTTACATGTCTGCAGTTAACTTAAAATTCAAAATTCAAAATAAATGGTTTACTAATTTATTTTATGTTACTCAAAACAATTGGAATTCCACGTATCAGATGATTCTAGGGTATGACTTTATTCAATGTAACAGAATTTTGTTAGATTCCGTAAATAAGAAACTCATAATTGATAACACCCATCTGGACTTTGAGGAAAATTCTCCTAATAAAACAGTAACCAATTCAGTTAACAATACAAAAAAGAAAATTGCAGTTTAAATGCAGTAAGGATGGTTTCTAATATTACTGTCATGCCAGATCAATCTCAGATCATTTCCTTAGCTGTACCTGAGGTTTTAAAACAATCTAAAGAAATTTTACTTTGTCCAAAAAAATCAAAAAACAGATTTCACATCAATGAATCTTTGCATACAGTTGGTCGTTACAACCATATTCAAACTATCATTGAAAATAATACGAATGAAAAATTAGTTCTAAGAAAGAATTCTGTCATGGGAACTGCTGTGCCATTCATTTTGAAGATATTGTCAATCCAAAAATCATGAAACATTACAAATAAATACACTAAATCTGCAAGAAGTAATTAAGCTCAGAAAAGAAGAATTAAATGTATCAGATTTTAACTAGATCATCTAAATGAAAAAGCAAAAGGTGAAATGATAGAATTGTTAATGAATAACCATGCTGTATTTTCAAAGTCTTATAACACTTTAGGATCCACTGATAAAGTTGTGCCAGAATTTAAACTTCTTCATAACTTCCCTATTCAGACGAGACCTTATCCCATTCCTAAAATTGCTAAACAGTATGCACAACAAGAAATTGCAAAATTATTAGAGGCTGGCATAATAGAACCATCTTCTTCCAGTTAAAGTTTTCCTGTTATATTTGTCAGAAAAAAAGAATTTACCTGGTGATTATAAAAACACACCAAAATTTTGTATGGTTGCAGACTATCGTCTATTAAACAGCATCACAGAATCTTACAAAATCTGTTCACCACAAATTTCTGAAATTTTACACAGCATTGCTGGTAGGAATTTATATTGTGTACTCGACTTGAAATCAGCTTTTTTCCAAATTAAGTTACAAGATTCTGATAAAGAAAAGTTCGCTTTTTGCACCGAGCTTGGCAATTTTCATCTTTGTAGACTTCCCTTTGGTTCACGCAATAGTACTTCTTATTTCCACACATTAATTTCAAAATGTTTAAATGATATCAAAGGTAGTAATGTTCAATTTTTTCTGGATGATATTATTGTTGCTGCTGACAGTGTATCTGAATTGAAGGTAATTCTTCAAAAGGTTTTTGATAGGCTAAGAGCATTCAATTTGACTTTGGATCCAGCTAAAGTGCAGTTATGCAAATCTGATATAACTTATTTAGGTTTTAACATTTCTAAAGCAGGTTTTTCTCCTTCTGAAGATAATATAGCAAAAGTTTCTAAATTCCCCATTCCAAAAGATGTTAAACAAATTCAAGCTTTTCTTGATATGATGAATTATTTTAGCCAATCCATAATTTTGCTGAGATCACTCAGCCAATAGTACACTTGACTAAAAGAAATGTACCTTTTGTTTGGAATCAAGAATGTCAGGATGCTTTTGATCTGTTACAGTAAATAATGTTAGAAAAGCCTACTATAAAAAACATCGATGATAATCATGAAATATTTTTAATTACTGATTCTTCTAAAGTAGCTATTTTTGGTATACTTTTGCAAAAAATTGATGACAAATTCTTTCCTGTAGAATTTTATTCGAAACTTCTGACTGCAATTAGATAAGCAGCCTGATATTGTGGCCAGATGGTTGTTGTATTTACAGGATTTTGATTACACTTTAAAGCAAATACCTGGTTTTTCTAATCCTGCTGATTTTCTTTCTAGAGCTCCTGAAGAATCTCATAATGTAAACAATATTAACTTATTTCAACCAAAAAGCAATCAATTAAGCATTCAAAATATAGTTAATCACCAAAAAAATGATAAAATCATTAACAACATCATAAACAAAATTCACAATAACAATTCTGAGATTTGTAGCGAATATTTTATTGATCAGAAAAATGGTATAGTAATGATTAAGTTAAGACCTAGAGCACATCATTTAAAGACAAGGCACTTAGAAAACAAAATTCTACTTCCAAATTCTTTAGTAAAACCTTGTTTAGAGATTGCTCATGCTCCACATTTTGGTACCAAAACTTATGAATTCATAAAAAAGAAATATTTCTGGAAGGGCATGTTTTTAGACACAAAAAACTTTTGTGAAAATTGTCAACAATGTTTGGAAAATAAACCCAAATCTTCTAGAACAGCCACAAGTAATATAAAAAAGTCTGATTTAGCCCCTGGAGAGATGTTAGCAATTGACATTGTAGGTAAATTACCCAGGTAACGCGATGGTAAATTTTTCATTTTAACAATTATTGATCATTACTCGAGATATTTAGAAGCTATTCCTTTAAACAATATCACTTCTGCAACAATCATAAGATGTATGAATCTGTATTTTTCAAAATTCGGTATTCCAAAGATGATATTATCTGACAATGGGTCAAATTTTTTTTTCGGCTGAATTTGAGAATTTTTTAACAGATTTAAATACTGAACTCAGAAAAAGTTCCATTTATTACCCACAATCTAATGGAATCATAGAACGAGTTCACAGAACTATGAAAGAAAGCATAGCTTCATTATCTAATCAGGTCTTTGAATGGTCTGATAGATTGGCATTTTTTAAACTGTATTACAATAATTCAAAACACATAGTAACTGGTTTCACTCCTGCTCAGTTATTTTTCGAGCGAGAACTCAATACACCTTTAGACTTAAATAATGAACCACATGCAGAAGACAATCCTTCACAATACCTGTTGCATCAAAAGGAACACATTAAAGCCACTAGAGAATTAGTGAAACAAAATGAAGAAAAGTATTTTCAAACTCAAGATGAAGTTGTAAAGGGCAGAGAAAGTCCGAAATTTAACATTGGAGATGAAGTATTTTTTAAGGCTTTACAACCACCTCATGCCTTACAGCCAAAATACAGTGGTCCTTTCAAAATCGTAAAAATTTTTCGAAATGAAAACTATTAATTCAAAATACCACTGACAACAAAACTGAAAAAATTCATTGTAGTAAATTGTTTAAAAGAGTTCCTCTGAGGTCAAATTTAACTAATTAATAGCATTGTTTTCATCGAGCTTGTTTTTTCTTGTTCACTAAGTAAAAAAAATAATAAGAATTAAAGAAAGAAAAATTCACACATGTTTAGTGTTTGATTATGAATGTAATGCATTTAGTTCCAATTAATTTTTTTGGAGTTTCTTGGTTAGTATGGGTGTAGGTTGGCCACCTTCATTTATACGTTTGGTCAGTTGCAGGCTGGTCCGGGTTGACTAAGGTCATGGAATTTCAAAAAAAAAAAAAAAATAAGAGAGAGTAAGAGAAAAATTCTAGAACACTTAGTGGTTATTACAAGTATCCAGCTAGTAATGAAAATGTGCTATTTTAACAATTTGAGAATTTGCAATTACTAAGTTGTAAAAGAAAATTGTAAAGTAATCATTCTTACACATTTACAAAATTATTAGAAAAAATTGATGCTATTTAAAAGAGTTGATAAAATGATATGATTTGAAAATTGTTAAGTAAGAGATATATAGTAATCAAAAGTTGTTAACAACAGTGAAAGATTGTATGAAATATGAGTTGTATACAGTTACAAATGTGTCTACAGATTGTAGTGAAATCTATGCTACTGTATGTGAATCATGTATTGTATGTATTAGTTCTTAGTTTTAATTTTTAACTTGACTCGCATGTGTAGCAGCTTATCCCCCAAATTTTTTTTATATATTTATGCCAGACAATGAAATTTTCATAATTTAATAATTGATCATAATTTGGATTATGCCAGACATATATATTTGATTAAATTAGCATGTGCTAATTTCAAATGGATAATAGATCCTAAAATTCTGATTTACGTGATTGCAAATACGTCAAGTCTCATCTGCAAATTAGTGTTGTGCTTCATCAAAATATTGTGATACGATTTTGTGAACTGTGCTGCGTTTCTTCTTCTTTGGGCGAAGGGAATGTGCAGGCAAGCCTTCACATTTATTCAACATTAAGTCTGTTCACTGCGAACGCTCAATGACAGAGCGAGATTGACCACGACAACCAGTTTTCTGTCTCTTGTGCTGCTAGACTCCGAAGGTGTAGGTTGTGCTTCTGTCCGTCCTCACCGCGGATGATGCGTGTCTGTAATTTGTTCTTTTCGTGCCTTTCTGACGACCATCTCCATATAGTTTCAAGAGAATGCATTACATCAAAAAATCATAGTAAGTAATATGAAGATTCAACTAAAATTGACCTAGATGCTCACTTCTGCGGTAAATGCATTGCTATTTTACGACTTGAGACGTTCTCGAAAGGAAATTCCGTGCACGTGTTGCGGCTTGATGCTAAAATTGGCCTTGTGTTTCCACAAATATATATTGGAATAAAAAGTCAAACCAACGTCCTTCGCTATAAAAATTCAAATTTGTTACCATGTAACCTTGTGCAACGAAGATGATCTGAGATTTAGTAGATTGGAACTTTACGCATTTTGTGCACGAAAGATTAGGACTCGAAATAGTAGGACTGATTCTTACTGCTGCAGTAGTATGTCGTATATTGTCTTCTGTCTGGTTATGTTTTCTTGATTTATACTAGTATTAATTTAAATTTTCACGATGTCAAGATATAATAAATTTCTCGTAATTCACATTATTTGAAGTGTCATCCTTTGGGGCAAAGTTACTTTAAATTCCATATTTTTTTTTTTTTTTTTTTTTTCAGATCACACATTTCATCCTGCACGTATCCAGTAATTCTGGCTTATTGCGCTATTTAATATAACAGTCACCACGCCCATACGTTCTGTAACCACAGTTTCATTCCAGCTTCGTCCATCCAGCCTTTCGGATGAACATCAACAATTACACCCGTTGGAAGTTTTTCTTTCGGATGAGTTTTTCTTTTGAATATGAAAAACGGCAGTAGTTTTGTGCCATCAGCACAACATGTTAGAACTATCGCATATTGGGTTTTTTCATGACCTGTGGTTTCTATGGTTATTGATTTAGACCCTTTAATACTCACAGTCTTGTTGAATGGTACATCAAACGTGAGTGGAATTTCATCCTTATTTCCTATTTGACCGAGCTCAAAGGAAGTTTTCTTGCGTGCATTTATAACAAACCTATGAAATTCTAGTATTTTTTCTTCATAATCTGCTGCCATTTTCTGCGCAATAGTTGTTTTTGTGCGCATTGATAAGTCTTGCCTTTTCATGAACCTGCAGCACCCGCCCTCAAACCCTGAAAAGTTCTGATTCCCATGTTTTTTCTGCAAATCCTTTGACCTCATTGATAATCATTTTGATTGAAACACTTATCCCAGATTTCCTCTTATCTATCACCCACATTTTTACAGCATTTTCAAGTTCAGGCCAAGATGGAGTTGGGCATCGAAGGCTATGTTTTTGTTTTTTAGCAGCCTTCAGCTGTCCTGCAGTTTCAAGTACGTATCATTTTTTCAGTAGGTTATGGATTGAAATGCTTTGCTGCTGCTCTGTTTCCGTGCACTTTGGCATAGTTTACCACTCGTAGTTTATATTATATAGCTTAATCTCTTGCTTCCTATAGTCATATTTTCCAAGGTATTTTTTTAAACAAACAGTTTTAAGCGCCGATACCGACACATGTGTCGGCTGAGTCAAAGAAAGTCTAAAAGAAAGAAAGTCGGTTGAGTCAAAGAAAGTCTATAAAGAAAGAAAGGCTCCATAGACGTAATGTGACCGTCGAACCTGTTCAAACTTCGACATCAGCTTCGAGCTTTGGCGCTTTTTGGCGACAGATATTTCACGCATGCGCAAAATAATTATGGCAGATGTAGAAAAAGTTATGTGTGTCTATACTTTTACCCGGGCTAAAAATAACATTCAGTATTGAAAGTTAACCTATGTCCTTCACGTATAAGTCGCAGGTAACTTTCTTGAGGCCAAATTTAGGAAAAAAAGTGCGTCTTATATGACGTCAAATATGGTATTTATTTAAGAGTGAAATTGATAGTTATTATTTATTATATTATCAGATAAAAATTAAGCTGGGTAAAATCGCTAAAAGAGGTATTGAATGCTCTGCCAAAATATATTTACTGGAAAATTTGAATTTGATAATGTATGTATCCTAAAACGTGTTGCAAGTCAAAAGATTGAAACCTGATGGCTAGATGTAAATATAAAATTATTCATGTTAAACTACTTGTAATTAGGCACATAGCTAAGTTTTTATGAAATAGGGTAAGGCATGCAAGGTCTGTCTGCCTAAAAGGAGAAATGCCATTGTGGAAGAATTTCGAAGGAAAATTGATTTTAAAAATAATCCACGTAATTTTCATTCAAATTATGTTTATACATATTTCTTATGTAAAAATTCCTAGTTATTCCTAGTTAAATTATTGTAAATTACTTTACTCGAAAAAGATTGTGAATGAACAGAAATTAAAGATTTGCCCACGCCAAAAATGAAAAATATTAAATATATATGGGTATTTATACATATGTTCGCAAAAAGCATGTATCTGTCTTTAACAAAGTACGTAAATATTCATTAAATTATTTATAAATGTATTTGGAAATGAAGGAATGTTTAATTTTGCATTTAAAAAATAGGTCTGTACTATCAGCATAGTACGCTGTAAAAGGTGGCTTTGCAAACAAATATAATAATAATACAATTTTAAAATGATGAAATTAAATTTTTTTTCCTCTGTGTCATTTTTGCATTCAGTCATTTGCTTGTACCAAGTGAAGAGACAAATTTGAAGACTGCCTAGGCAGACACACTCAGGGTTCGCCCCGGGCAGCAAATGTTCTAGCTATGCCGACATATATATGTCTGTCGGCATATATATATATCACCTTCAATCTATGATTTATCATGGTAAAAGTTTACAATTGGGTGCCCATTATTTTTGGTGATTCTTTTTTGATGCCAAGATCGGTGCCAGGAAGGCATAATTTCAAGATAGTACACAAAACCAAAATAAAAAGACAAAGAATTGCACAAACTCTGTGTCCATGTACACATCGATCTATTTTCACTTAAAAAAGCATCCCAGAATTGCACAAACTAGGCATTGTGCACTGCCTTAAATTTGTCCATGTACACATCAATCTATTTTCATTTTAAAAAAATCAGGAAGCTAAAACAAAATTAGAACTATCATGGTAACCAGAAATGAGATTTCATCACCAAAATTTAAAAAAAAAATTTATCGCTAATCGAAGGGGCACCCAATTCTACACTAGAGCATCTATCATTTAAATTGAAGAAATTTACAGAACAGAATATAGCCTTTCTAAGACAATCTTCATACATGTCCGAATGATTTGGTTTTCCATGAAGACGACTTTTTAAAAGTAATGATATTTAAAGCAATGTTTTATGTATATTTTCAAAAAGACTGGTTATTTAAGATGTAGTCGTCTTAAGTTATCACACAAAAACTATAAAACAATTTAACTATATTTTTGGTTGATCTTTGTATTATGGTAACTTGGTGCTTTTTTGGCGACCAACTCTGCTACAGCAACCCTCTATTTTTTTTTCCGCCGCCATTTTGTCTTCACGAAGTAAAGACATGTTTCTTTTCTTTTTATTTCCTGAACACTTTTTCCAACAATCTACTAGCCGAATTACACTTATGCTAGAAATTTTATGTAACAAAACTGCTTAATCATGAAAAATATTAACTGCAAAATTGGGAAAAAGTGCACAATCGCAAACTCCTTGCGCGTTTTTCAGAATAGCACATACACATAAACCACGTACACATTGACTTATTTTTACTTAAAAAAACGGCTGATCTTTGGGATATGGTAACTGGTAGTTTGACGACATTTTGGAGGCGATAAAGGTTACTACCTAGGACTTTGGTAATAATGTGAGAAGTACTCAGTTCCGATTACGCATTATTTTGCGTGAGGGAAATAAGAGATCATGAGATATGTCATGTAACATTAATGGACGAATTACAGTTCTTTAATCGGAAAAGGGGGGAATTTGGAAAACTGTAGTACTATATTATTTTGTATTAAGCTTCATTGTGTGTTGTATAGTGGAAGTGTGCGTGCCACATAATGAAGATTCTGAAGATTAGGTAAGTTAGTATT